TGTTCCAGAGATGAAACACAGCAACACGGGGACACAGTTGGAAGCTGAAGACACAGATGAATCACAGGGATGTTAGGAAGTATTTCTTCAGCCCCAGAGTAGTCAAGAAGTGGAATAGTTTGGGAAGCGATGTAGTGGAGGCAGGATCCATACATAGCTTTAAGCAGAGGTACGATATAAACTCATGGTTCAGGGAGAGTGACCTAGTAGCGACCAGTGAAGAGGCGGGGCCAGGAGCTTGGACTCGACCCCTGCAACCTCAACTAGGTGAATACAACTAGGTGAGTACACAGGCACACACACACACACACACACACACACACCCCACACACACACACACACACACACACACACACACACAACACACACACACCCCACACACACGCACACACACACACACATACACTCACATACACACACACACACCACACACACACACCCCACACACACACACACACACACACACCCAACACCACCACATACAACCACACAACCCCAGACACACACACCACACTCACACACACACACAAAACACACACACACACACACACACACACACACACACACACACACACACACACACACATACACACACCCGTGCACACAAACACAGGCACACGCAAGCACACAAATAATGAAAGGAGGACGTTGACATTAGAAAGTGGGACCTGGTGTACCAATGTGTTCCAGAGAATTTACTGTCTAGGACATTTCCATCGGGTTCATTGAGGAGGAGGACAAGGGGTATCATCTTACAGAAGGGTGATGGACAGAGGCAATCATGGTGGCTTTAACATGGAAACTCTCTTGAAGGGTCGTACATCACTGAGGGTTCATTCAAGGTAACTAACGTAAAGGGATAGTCATCTTCGAAGGTAAGTTATCATGCAAAGCTCCGTAATGAGGATCAAGTTTGGAAATGATTGCGAACACAAGATGAATAAACGAATTCAAGGAATTTACAAAGGTAAAAAGAAGAAAAACAAAAGGGAATGTATGTAAGAATACTCCAGAAATATTTGAAACATTCGGCATAACCACAGGGAGGAACTGAGATGAATCATTCAAGAATTATTTCTTTTAAGAAATACGTATGCAAGCCAAATCGAGTGGTTTTTGCAATGGGATTTCAAGATGGAATACAAATCGTATCAAATGGGATTTGTACACCATTGAACAACTGATTTCAGACGCTCTATCCAGCTATACAATCAGAACTGTTATTGGTTTAAAACCTGAATTAGTTTGAAAACTGACAACTCTTACCAAATAAGTTTCGCAGTCATAAAAAAGAGTTGTAAATCGTGAAATCTTGATTGAATTAAAGAAAATATAATAAATCGCGTCACCGAACAAATTATTTGTGAAACTTATTTGTTGTTAGATGTTTTTTTTTTTTTAATTAGTGAGAGTGAAAAAATTTAGTGACTTTAAAGGTTTATTGATAGAGTTTCGCTAACGCGTTGGCGTTATATTTCTTGTTTTGTCTCAGCTTAGTTGCCAATTTTGGATTTTCTTCGGTTGCTAAGAAATTATTGCTGGTAACATTTTTTTTTATAAATAATAAGGCATTACAAGTTATTGTGTTGTTATTTATTATGCAAACTTTTGCATGAGATTAAACAAATCGGTAAAAGAGTAGAATAATCAAGTATAATTACGTCAAAAGTTGTGCACTATGAAAAATGTGCATAAAATTGCATGTTTCATTTTTAAAAGGGCAGCGATAACATAATTTGCAGCAGTTTTGGCAAACTCAAGACTAAGTCTAACAATTATCTGTAATTGCGAATTGATTAGGAAGGTATGTGGGGTGTAAAAATCCGATTAATTATACAATGAAGCACATACTGATCAAAATTAACAGCGAACTCACAGTTTGGAGAGGAAAAAGTATATAACCATTATCGAGGTTAATTGTTTAAGAAAGATTAGAAAGCTGAATACAGATTTTCTTTAAACTGTGAGTTGGGACAGAAGTATTCGAGCCACCTTAATAATATTTATTCTTCACAATATTCTATGAAATAAAAACTGGACGATACCATCATGAAAACTAAATATTAATTTGATAACCATTTTATTAAAAAATATTTAAATATATTTTGTACATAAAGTACAGTGAACGTTTTGCATTATTTCAAAATAGAAGCTTTGATAAAAGGAAATACATATTTCGTGAAGGAAATAATAAATATACCAGGCAATATTTGCGATACATATGTAGAAGGGAAAACAAACAATTATTTAATGATGAAGTGATAATATTGGGAAAATAGAAAAACTTAATATGTAAATTTTTGTTTTACAAATGAAAATGTTGGCAAAATAGAGGAACTTGATATGTAAATGTTTTTTTAAATTGTAAATATGGAGCTAAGAACCCCCACAGGTGTTGCAGCGTCTCTATAGTTTGTAAGGGTCACACAACCCGAGAAAATGTTGGAGTAAGCAGGTTTCATTCCACTGACGGGTAATTGATAATGAGCGATGCATTGTCATAAGGTTCTGGAGATACTTGTATACAACAAATTAGGAGAAAAATCCGAGAAATCATGTGACTTTGTTTATTGATAGTGAAGGTGGTGAGACAGTGGAAGAGACACGGAGAGAATAATATGAGAAACAATTGACTTGGAAGCATACATTACATTGTTTTTTATAAGTGATAAAGGATATATTGTGGAATATGTGAAACAGCCAGTAGGTTTAATATGATAACTGCAGCACAGATCAATGGAATTTCAGACTGTTGTGAAGAAAGTTTTGGAATAGTTGGTATTTTTTTTTCAGTGGATGGATGGAAGTAGGGAAATTATCTAAGGTTCAGTAAGAAATACTTCACTCCTTTGAATAAAGAGAAATGAGACAAAAATGCTTAAATATTAATTAAGGAATGAGTCAGGTAAGTGTCGTAGGTAATATGAATGAAATACTTTTAGATTAATGCAGTTACTAACAAAAGAGTATGATTATATAAAATCCTGGTGGATTTAGAAGGGGAATTAGATAAATGAACTAGATGTTTGCACTGGAGTTTGTAACTGTACGATACTAAGATAATGAAAAAACTTGTTTGCTGCATGCATATGTAATGATAATCAAACCTCACTGTAGATTTGAAATTAACGTAGATAGTGTAGCAGGTATCTAGAATTATTACCAAGTCGAAGAAAACTATTATGAATTTTTACTAGACTGTGACTCCCATGTTAGGATGAGTAGAAAAGATGGGTAGTATTTTCCATAACAACGTGGTTCTTGTACAGAATGTATTATTTGACTGAGTTTCTCAAAGGATTATTCACCGGAATATAAATCACTGGAAGATATGTAGGCAGATTCAAAAAATCTAATGATAATAAATACGATAAAAAAGTGGAAGTTCCCATCACTGATGTTTGAAAATAATACATTGATAATTGAATACTTAGAAGATAATCAGCATATGTTAGTGATAGAGATTTAAGGTTATATATAATAAAAGTATTTTGAACGCTATTGCAAGGTGCAAGGGGACGAGAATAAGATCAATGAGAAAAATCACAGAAAAAATGAGAAAAAGAATTATAGGAGCGAAAGAGGTAAGTTTCTCAATGGACAGAAAAGAGTGTTAGGATAAAAATGATTGTCTTTCAATGCTGCAATGGAGAGAGGTTAGTAGAAATGGATATGTCATGCATGAAATCAAAGTGATCACTCGTGTAAAATGATTGGAGAGAGACAGTTTGATTACGCGGATGCAAGAGTCTGGGGTGGATGAAAAGAGAGTTAGAGGACATTAAGGCAAGGTCTGGAAGGTTGATATGGAAGAGCTTTTGAAATGAAGAAGCCAGAACACCTAGCAAAGACACTGGGAGGCAGGAGTTAGAACACCCAGCAAAAGGTTCCGAGGGGTAGGAGTTAGAACACCTTGGAAAGATGCTGAGAGATGAGAGCTAGATGACCCAGCAGAAATAGTGAGGTAGGATTTTGGAACATCCAGCATACTGAGAGGTAGAATGTAGAATATCCATAAAGATAGTGACAGGTAGGATCTAAAAGTAGGAGCAGAGATACTGAGGAATAGGAGCTAAAAGTGAGCAGAGATACTCAACATAAAAGCAAGAAGCTAGAACTCTGAGCAGAAAGGTGTGAGCATCTTACGTCAGAGTGATGGTGAGTTATTTTTATGATCTGACGAAACTCTTGTAGTAAGAATCTGGTATATATAAAAACATTCATGGAAACTGTTTGGGAGATGTGATAAAAGATTCGTAATTTGTAAGAGAGGAAAGGATGTTTCTGCCAGGTTTGTCACTAATGAATGCTAATGGATGTTTTCTGAATGAATACATTGAGAGACAACACAAGTGTCATGGGGCCAAGACTGTTCAACTGCCTCCCAACATACATACGGGAGATTACCAATAGACCCCTGGCTGTCTTCAAGAAGGTGCTGGACAGGTCCCTGAAGTCAGTACCTGAGCAGCCGGGCTGTGATTCGTACGAAAGTTTGCGCGTGGCTAACAGTAACAGCCCGGTTGATCAGACCCTGATGCACCAAGAGGCCTGGTCTTAGACCGGGCCGCGGGGGCGTTGACCCCCGAAACCCTCTCCAGGTATACTCCGGGTATAATGAACAGCTGGGGAGAAATGTTGGTGATTGTGTTTTAATTTTTGAATATTGGTGTTATTAACGGCCAGTATTAAAAAAAAAATAAGTGCTCACAGATGCAGCACATTTTTCATATATAATGATGAACACTCATTTAACAAAAGATAAAAAAAAAGTAATCCACAACACAAAAATCGAAATATTGAATAGTTACCTGCAAGCCCTGTTAGAAATGGCTGGGAGAAAACATAGTGAAACATGGCAAAACGACTCCGTAGATTTATAACACTCGCCATCTAGCATGTACCACACTAGGGAAGGAAAATCTCCCTCGTAAAAGGAACCCACTTGAGAGAAAACATAGTGAAACATTGCAAATCTGCAACGTAGACATAAGACTCACCATCTCGCGTGTAACACACGAGGGAAGGAGAATCTCCCTCGCGGAAGGGACCAACTTGGCTGTCTATATCAGGGTCCCCTCGCTCACCCATCCACCACCTCACACCTACTCGCTGTGGTGGCACTGTGGAAGATACAAACGTCACGTTACTCTAGTAATCACTGTGGGTGCGACGTTAGGAAATTCTGTATTATATCGAATCGGAGAAATCATAGTAATTTGAAAGAAAATAGTTATTGGAACTATTCTGAAATGTTTGTGAAAATGAAGGACGTAAGTTAGGCTCGCGAGCGAGTGAAGTACTGAGGCATGAACGCAAGTGTTATGACGTGGAAAGTGAGTGGTAGAAAAGGAGACATGGAAAGTTGCATGAAAAAGGAGCGGGAGACAGAGAGAGAGAAAGAGAGAGAGAGAGAGACAGAGAGAGAGAGAAAGAGAGAGAACTGTTTCAATGGCAGTGAGCACCGGTCGAAGACCTCATTCTTTTCAAGTTCTCTTTCTCGAGGACTGAGTACTTCTATTGCTGTAAGGCGGCCGCCTATGATACCACACTTGATACTTATAATTTTCGTGTGTCCAGCAATTTCTTTTGTTTCTATGAATAAAGTCAGAGTAGAAGTAGAATTGTAAATTACAGGACGTTTGATCCATAAGGGCTTAGCAAGCATATTTTTAATAATATAATAATAATAATAATAATAATAATAATAATAATAATAATAATAATAATAATAATAATATATAATAATATATAATAATAATAGTAATTAAATTTAATTAATTAATATAATAATTAAATATAGTAAAGAATGTAATATTATGTCAATTTATACTTAAAATTTCTTTAAAGAAAATGTAAAAAAATACATACAGCGTATAATAAATTTAGTTATATCAGTTGATCCAAGAAAAGAGGACATCCAAAAATATTATATAAAGAGCCAGTAGCTAAACACCTATAAAAATGTAAACAGCGGATAAAAAAATACAGCTGTATTTTAAATCTTTCAGAAGATAATAATATAGATACAAAAAATGTATTGAAACTGAGACAGATCTTAGACGCGTAATCTACACTGTGTTTTGCCATAGAATTTAGCTGTTTCAGTTTATATATTAAGCGTAAATCCACTGAACTATCTAGTCATTGAAGTATTGTCAGTAACATATTCTTATTATAAACATAAATATTGTCTTACACACGAGCTAAGCAATGAGTAGATAAAATACGGTATTCCTGTTCCCATATATATATATATATATTTATATATGGTACTCACTCTCTATGTAAATGTGTACACACAATATACCTGTGCCGTGTCTGTGACGGGTTTCGTGGATTTCTTTACTTCAGTCTAAACATCGTCTCTATTACTAACACTCTTTGTGAACTGTTTAGTGGAAAATTGTAAATCCATTCTCCCTACTTTGCATGTTAGACGAACTGGCCTGATCTTATGAGTTATTACTTCTTCGCAAAATTTATTTAGATTACTTCAGCGTTTTGTATTACTTTCAAGAACTCCCAGTTAGTCTGTCATAGTGACCTAACACACATTCAAGCTATAAGCTTGGTTAGCGTAGTTCATGCTTCTCAGTAATTTGGTGTATTTGTAATCTTTAAAAAAATATGTGTGAAATTAGTGCTACTGGTGTATTCCATGCATCCCAAAGAACACTGGGTGTTCTTGCTAATGTTATACTCCATTTTTAATGAAAAAATTCTAGAAATCTGGCCGACGTGTTGTGTTCGTGGGCATGTTGTCTGTTTTCTCCTTCTAAACCTGAAATGTTTGCATTAGTGTAAGATACATAATTTGTTCGTGGACTGAGCTCAAAAAAAAAAAAAAACTGTGGATCTTCAACACTCATGGCATGGACAGGATCACGGAACATTGATTCATACTTTCATTCAAGATTTTGCTTATTTCTTTGTTGTCATCTCGGTATGCGCCTACTTTCAGTAGAAAACCAATACTGGAACAGAAGTTTTGACTTAGATTTTGTATATGTCAGTGAGCATTTTGTATTTTTTCCAAGTTTCCTGAAAGGCTTTTTGCTCGTGTTGTGCGTCTTCTGTCTGGTGTGAATGCTTTAGTATCTCTTCTATATCAGTAATTTTTCCGTGTAGATTTTCTTTCATTTGTTGTGATATTTTCTGCTTATTACACAGTCCAGCAGCCTTTTTCCTCCTCTAGAGCCTTCTACGCTCTTTGTACAGTATTATGTCCGTTGAGACTTCTTATTGGCCTCATCTTTTTCTACACTCCTTTTATACTTATTCATTCACCTTTTCCCATGCATTATGTTTTATTTAGAGTAGTTAAGACAGTTTCAATTATAATAATTTATACTTGTTTGTTTATGCTCTCCCAGTCAGTACTTTGATTAAGTTAAATTTGCTAAACATCCGCACAGGTCGACTATTTCTAAGGTTCTCCACACGTGTTTTAATAATTGTACATTAATGAGGCTGTCATCTGAGTGTTATGTCCTTGGTAAGTTCCTCACTTTTGTTATGATCACGTGTATCTTATTTTCGCTTGAAGTAAGTTTTTATCTATTAGTCCGTACTTAAAATAATTGATTTATTTTAAACTACATAATAGAAAAATCGAGAATAATAAACCGTACAAAGTTAAAATTGATGTTTTTCATTACGGAGGTTTTGAATCCATTAACAAGCTTGTGCAATAATCATCGTACATGTCAGCAAATAGCAATTAACTAATGCATGTAACTTGCTTAAAGCGAATATATTACCTCATCAAAAAGTAAATATTGAGCTCATGAAATATGTCTTTGTACTATCCACCGGGAGGAGGAATACCTTGACATCAGTGAGGATCTCTTGGTCCAAGGAATTAGAATTCTGCGTTCCATCCATTACTTAAACCAAGTTCCTTCCCATTTCTCAGGCGCTATGCGACCCAAGTTGGTTTAACATTTCCACATGAATATAATAATTTGCCTATTTTATCTAAGAGTCCAATGGATTCAGACTATCAGTCTTTCCGTCTGCCTAGCAAAGGAAATAAGAAAACACTAATCCTTGAATGAAATAATAATCATTAAATAAAATAATTGCTAAATAATAAATAAAATATTAGCCACAGAGCAAATAAATAATCTTTAGTATATTAATTCAACAGAATTTAATGGAAAGTTTGACTTTTTGGAGAATAGACCAAGGGTTTAATATGCCAAATTAGGAACAGATTTTGTTGCTGCTAAATCAAAAGCGGGTACATACCTCTCTACCTAGCATGTGTCTACCTATAATAGTAAGATTAAATTGCTAGTTTACAAGTACCTGGTTAAAATGCTGAGAGTAAAGAACTGTTTTTTCATATACCTACTCCCACAACAGTAACGTTAAATTGCTATTTTTCTTATACCTACCTACATCGGTGACAAATGAAATGCTATTTTACAGATACCTACCTACAACAGTGAGATTAACGCGGGTGTTGCGTGTGGGAGTCAAGAGAAAGTCAACACGGCAGCGGTACACAGCGGAGTCATTCAGTTCCACATCGCGAACAACCAGACCCACTGATTCGTCCTCCAGGTCGTCCTCGCCAGCACTCTCACGGCCACCAGAGTCTATTTCATTCCCCAGCGAGTCCAGATCATCTAGAACGTTCCCGAAGATCCTGGAACTCATGCCCTCGCCCAGGTGTGTGGGTAGGCCGTCACCGAAGCCCATGTCTGCGACGCGAGTGGCCGTCAGGGACGGGTCGATGCCCTCAGCGACTCCCACATCGGTGCCAGCGAGGTGGAGATAGGCTCTCCTGGCGGTGGATGCGGTGTTGTCACGCCATACCTGTGGTCGCCCACCTGCCTGCTCACGGTAATCTACACTGTAAGGACGAGGGAAGAAATTGCGGAATGTTAGCACGTGTGTACAGTTGGAGTACATGGGATTATTGTATTTTATATGAAAATTACTGAACCCAGGTTGGTTATTCAGCGCAAGGAGTGATGGAGATAAATCCTCCGTTCACTAATTACGAGAGATAAACTCTACTCTCTCAGGCAAGCTTTACCTCTACGTAGGAGTACATGGGAAACACAGAAAGTCTTTAAAAGTTTCTACCGAAGCTATCTGCAGAGAAGGACACT